CACAGCAGAAACCAGGGAGAAGGTATTTTCATGGGGGCACTGGCATTGTGCCAGTGTCAAACCATGACACCTGTTTATTCATTGATACCAAAATCACATAAAAGCCATTTCTGGTTGATGTGGTACCACAGAAACCTGAGCCCCATCCTTACATTCAAGCTGTCTGATGAATGGCCTGGCTGGAGAATAGCCAAGGCAGTTTAATACAAATTTTAAAAAGAAAAAGAAAAGCCCTCTAAATACAGAACTGAAGCTGAGCTCACTCCACTATTGAGTGAGCTTCCCCCCATTAAGACATAATGACATCTCCTGCCAGTTGTTGTAACTGGGTTCTCTCTTACAAGACAGTCACTTCTAGAGAAACTTAATCTTTGGCATGTGTTGTAAATGTGCCTTCATTAGATGTCACACTGTACAAATCTCACCCCTTGTTTTTTTCAACTGGAAATGATGTTGCTGTTTATTGAGAAGGGTTTTTTGATCCTGATCACAGTACAGTGGGAGGTTTCATCTCCCTTGGGCTACTCAAAATCTTCTCAGATGATCATTAAAATACTGGTTATCACCTGAGCATTGCTGGAGCACTTAACTTCTGAGTACTCATCTTTTTCTTCTCCACCCTGACATGCTGGCTGCATTATCAGTTTATCTGATCCATTGTATATAATAATAAATATCTTATAAATTCTCCTGTCTGGATTAAAGCCCTATTTAACAGTTCTATATCCCAATTAGTCCATAGGATGGAGGGAAACAAAGGAATACAGGATCACTGTTTCTACTGATTAGTGATTCATGAACAGGAGAGATTCATGAATTTCACAGGCCACTGTGTTTCAGCTATCCATGTCACCCTGTTATTTTTAAATATTTTCTGATTACAAGCTTCCGGCTATATCATGGTGCTCACCCGTAGGAGTGAGTGAGATGCAGATTATGAAGGAAAATTCCTTCTCATCTCCAGCTATAGGAGTTTGATCTCAGGAAGGAGAAATGATACATTTATGCAAATGCACTAAAGCATTGTACTGCTTAGAGTCCTGCAAATCATGGGCCTTTGCAAGGGTGTTACTTGCCAAAATATGTAGACTGGGTTCTCCACATGCCTGGAAGGTGATGGCTGATACTGCCCTTCACTTCCCATTTCTTTCTTATTCGGAAGGAATGATCTCTGAAGTCCATCCCAAACAGATATTTGCCATCTATTGCTTAACACTTGTAGTATTTCTCAGTAAAAAACCACCTTGGACATTGTTGTGATTTAACCCCATCCAGCTTCCAAACCCCTCACAGTTGCTTGCTCACGCTTTCCCCAGCAGGACTGGGGAGAGAATTGGAAGGCTAAAAGCTGGAAAACTTGTCAGGTGAGATTAAGACAGTTTAATACAGAAAGCAAAAACCATCACACAAGCAAATCAAAACAAATAATGAATTCACTGCTTCCCAAGGGCAGGCAGGTGCTCAGCACCTCCAGGATAGCACAGCCCCATCCCATGGAATGGTGACTTGGGAAGACAAATGCCACCGCAGCAAACATCCACCCCTTCCTCCCCCTTCCCCCAACTTTCTATCCTGAGCATGATGCCATAAGCTCTGGAATATCCCTTGGGTCAGATGGGGTCACCTGTCTTGGCTGTGACCTCTCCCAACTTCCCCTGTACTCCCACTCCATCTCCACTGTGGCCATACGAGAGGCAGAAAAGGCCTTGGCTCTGGCCAAGCTCAGCAAGGACAAACCCATGTCTGTGTTCTCAGCCTTGTATTCAGCACAACCCCAAACACAGCTCCACCACCACCCATGCAAAGGAAACTGAGCCACCCCAGCCAGAACCAGCAAAGGCGCTCTGAGGTCTCCACACAACCTCGCCTTCTCTAAGCTCAACAGCCCCAGCTCTCTCACCCTGTCTCCATAGAGAAGATGTTCCAGTCCTCTTACCAACTTCATGATGTCCTCTTCACTTTCTCTGACAGTTCTAAGTCCTTCTCATGTTGGGGACACCAGACCTGTGCTCAGGATTCCAGGTGGGGTCTCACAAGGTCAGAGTAGAGGGGCAAAGTCACCTCTCTCGATCTGCTGGCCACTGTCCTTTGGATGCAGCCCAAGACTCCATTGGTTTCTGGGCTGGGAGTGCTCACTGCCAGGACCTGCTGACTTTTGCATCTACCATCATCACAAAGTCTTTCTCCACAGGGCCACTCTTGATCATTTCTCCATGCAGCCTGTTGGTGTGTTTGGGATTGCCATGACTCTGGTGTAGGGCCTTGCACTTCACTTTGTTGAACTTCATGAGGTTTTCATTGGCCCCACCTCTCAAGTCTGTCAAGGGCCCTCTGAATGGCCCATCCCTTCCCTCCAGTGTGTGCTGCACCACACAGCTCAGTGTCATCAGCAAACATGCTGCAGGTGCCTCAATCTCTCTGTCCACATCACCAACATAGATGCTGAATAGTATTGGCCCCAGTATGGACTCCACTCATCACTACTCTCCACATGGTCAATGAGCCATTGACTACAACACTTTGCATGCAGCCATCCAGACAGTTCTTTATCAATTAAGTGCTCCATTCATCAAATACATGTCCCTCCGCTTTGGAGACGATGTTGTGAGGGACAGTGTCAAATGCTTTGCATAAGTTTAGACAGAAAACATCAGCTTCTCTGCCCCATCCACTAATGCTGTAGATTGGCCATAGAAGGTCACCAAATTTGTCAGGCAAGATTTCCCCTTTGCAAACCATGTTGACTGTCACCAATCACCTCTTTGCTTTCCATTTCCTTGGAGCTGGGGCTGTACATGGTACTGGTGGTACTGGGAGCAGGTCCAGGTGTGGGTAAGGAGCTCTTACGGGAGCTCAGATCCATGGTGTGGGGAATGGGAGGGGGCTGAGACCTCAAATGGAGTTCAGAGGGCTTGGAAGTACTATGGAAAAGGCATAGGAGAAGGGTGGAAAAGAGGAAATGAGATGATGTGAAGGGGGGGGTCTCATGACATCCTCTCTTACCTCTACCAACAGTTCCCTGGGGTGCTCAGGGTGCAGCTGCAGTCAGATGGCAACAGAGGTGGGGGGATTAATGCTTGGGTTCATCATCCCTCCTCTACCTGCACAAGGTGAGCAGGAGGCAGCGGGGGGAATGAGGGGCATTCCTGGAGTGTCTCCTGTGCACGAGAACTGCCCCAGCTCTGAGGTGACAACGGAGCTGGGCTCCTAATTTTGATGGTGGGTTATTGAGATTGCTCTTACCTCCTCCTGAGCCCACCTCGCACAATTGAGTAAGCCTGGGAATTGCTCTCACACAAAAGGTGGGACAGAAAGCTGTTGCTGGTCTTTCCCTCCCCTGGGCAGCTGTCATCTGCACAGCAACAATGGGCCCAGGTGTTGTACTTCCCAAGGAAAGGCACTGACATTCACTTCAGGAGCCCACCAGCAGAACTTGGTGCCACCCATCAGTGCAAAAAGCAGAGCTTGCAGTAACCACAGATACCCCTCTCCATGTCTCTTTCTCTCTTGCCATGCTGGTGCATCTCCCCATCCCTCTTTTGTTCCCAGGATCCCATTTTCTGTTTTTTTTCTCTACCTCCTTCTTGCCTACCTCCTCTCTTGCTTTTCTCTTCTCTCTTTTCTTTCTGTCCTGCTGGACAAATGGGGCAGGCCAGGTGGGACCTATGACTTGAGGGGTGACCTAACCAATAGTTCCCAAAGAGGTAGCAAGGGCCTTCCAGGGTTCTTTCATTAGTGCCTGTATTGGGTTTGTGCGGCCAAGTTTTGGTGGCAGGGGGGCTACAGGGGTGGCTTTTGTGAGAAGCTGCCAGAAGCTTCCCTGTGTCCAAGAGAACCAACACCAGCTGGTTCCAGGACAGACACACCACTGCCAAGATTGGGTCAAACAGAGATGGCAGTGACACCCCAGGGATAATGGATTCAAGAAGGAAAAAGTTCTTGCGCACTCCCTCAGGTGCAGAGAAGAGCAGAGTGGGAACATGTGAAAGGAACAGCTCTGCAGACACCCAGGGCAGTGCAGAAGGTGGGGCAGGAGCTGCTCCAGGTGCCGGAGCTGCCTGCAGCCCCTGGAGGAGCCTATGCTGGAACAGGGGGATGCCCGAAAAGAAGGATGTGAGCCTGTGGGAAGCCCGTGCTGGAGCAGCCTCCATGCAGGGCCCCATGGATCCCTGGGCAGAGGAGCCCACGCTGGAACAGCTTTGCTGGAAGGACCTGTGGGGACACACACTGGGGTTGGGGAAGGACTCCCAACTTCTGTCCCAGAGCAGCAGGAGGAGGAACAAGATACGATGAACTGACTGTGACACCCATTCCCATCTCCCTGTGCTGGTGGAGGGAGGAGAGCCCGGGAAGGAGGGAGGAGGGGTCAGGGAAGGTGTTTATATAATCCATTTTACTTTTCATTATCCTGCTGTTATTTTGACAGGTAATTAATTCAATTCCTATCCCCACCAGTATGTTTTGTCTGTGAGTGCAGTCCCTGCTCCGGCCGGCGATGCTGGGCCTGATGCACCCAGCACACGGACTGCCCCTCCTGGATTCCAGGCCACTGCTGACTCGGATCTGCATGGGCATCGACCAGGATCGCCAGGCCCCTTGCCGCAGCTGCTCTCCAGACTCTGTTTTCCCAGTCTATACACACAGGTAGGGTGCCTGGAAGAGGAGGAAGAAGAGGAGAAGAAGGGATGAACAAGGAGAAGCAGGGGGAGGACGCATAAAGGACGACGAGGAACAGCAAGGATTCAGCAGAAAAAGAAGTAGCCGGAGGAGGCGACGGAGGAGGAGGAGGAGGAGGCGGGAAAGAGGAAGGGAAGAGGGGCAGGAAGAGGGGCAGGAAAAGGAGGAGCCACAAGCTCGCAGCTCGTTGTAACTGCAGCACCCCCGCCCTGGGAGCATCCAGCCTCTGTTCTCCCCTTCGCATCCCGCAGGTGACGGGGAAGGGGAGCTCGCGGGGTTCCTGGTAGAGTTTTTCTGGGAGGGTGATCTTGGGATCTTCCGGGAATCCAAAACTGAGCCGGAAATGCTCCCGGAGAGGATCGTGGAGGGTGTCCGGAAGGTGGGGTTTTTTTGGAGCGGTCCCGGTGGCGGGGCCGGGGGATGCCGGGTTCCCGGAGGCGCGGGGCGGGTTTCTGCTCGGGGCCCGCCGCCTCCATTGTCAGCCCGCCCTCGTGGCCATCGCCCGGTGCTGGCTGGGGGATGGGACTCCGGTTTTGGGGACCCTTCGAAAGAGCCGAGGGGTGGGGGTGAGCACCGGAGAGAGGCCGTACTGGAGCTGGGGGATCCTCAGCCGCCTGAAGAGGGGTCGAGCACGGAGAGGGAGAAGCCTGGAGAGGGAATACCCTCGGGAGCCGGAAACGGAGGACTCGGAGCGGGGGACTGCCGGCAGCCAGGGGAGGGGGATAGGTTGGAGAGGGCTCCCCCAAGGAACGCCAAAGTGGGAAACCCAGGGTGGGAGGGAATTCTGGAACGCCCAGCATTTTGAAGCAGATAGTGAGAGGAGAAAACACGCACAGGACTTCCAAAATCCTTGGTATCCCTAAGCAGGGGGACCACGGCGGAGGGGGAGGGGGAACGGGGACACGACCCACTGGACCCCCAGCAGCCCAGAGAAGAGCGAGCACCAGAGCTTCAAAGTGGGGAGACCTCTGGGATTCTCGGGACCCTTGGCATCCTAGAATAAGGATCCCCAATACACGGAGGAACCCCAGCAGCCTGGAGAAGGGGGACCATTGAAACACCAAAGTGGAGAGACCAGAGAGGGGAACCTCCTGGGAGATTTTTCTCTGGCAGAATCTTGATATTTTGAAGTTTTTGGGAGTGGATCTTGGCGGTTTTATTGTTTTTTGGGCTAAATCTTGGCCATTTGTAGTTTTTCGGGCTGAATTTTCTATTCCAGAGTGGGTTTTGGCTGAATCTTGGGGTTTGGGGGGCTGTGTCTTAGTGTTTTGGGACTTTTATAGAGACAAGATGCCCAGTGACTTCTAGAGATGGACTTGGGCAGGAGGAATCTCCAATCCAGCACACTCACATCTTGTTTTTTCTGCCAAAACCAGGATTTATCATTCCCTAACTTTGGCCAGATGGAGGAGGAGACTGCGAGGAAGAGGAAGATGCTCTGGGACACCCAGGCAGGTGAGGAGGAAATCATTGCCCCTTTCCCTCTCTCTTTTGCCTCATCTCCCAGCCCAGCATTGCCCCTGGCTGCAGGACAACCCCAGCTGTCCTGCTGGGTAGGAATTTGGGGGGATGTCTTTCCCCTTCCTTCTAGCACAGAGGCAGATCTCCTTCCTCTCCATCTTCCTTCTCCCTTCTCTTTGTTTCTCCCTCCCTTTTCTTCTGGTTTTTCTTTCCTCTTCTTGTTCCTTCTTCTTCCTTCTTTTCCTTGTTCCTTCTCTTTCCTGTCTCTTCTTCCTCCTTTTTCTTCATGCTCCTTCCTCTTACTTCCTTTTCCTCATTTCTTCCTCTCCTTTCTCCTTCTTCCCCTTCTTTGTTCCTTCTTCTCCTTCCTCCTCCTTTTTCATTCCTCCCCTTCTTCCTTCTTCTTCCTTCCCAACTTCCTTCCTCTCCCTGTTCCTGCTCTTTCTTCCTTCCTATCTCTCCCCGATCCCTCCTCTCCTTGTTCCTTTGACTTGCTCATTCCTTCTTCCTTCCTCTCCTTTCCCTTCCTCTCCTTCTTCCCTCCTCCCCCAGGGAATGACCTGCACACAGAGACCAGGGAAGACAAATCCCCATGTCAGAACCTTGGGGAAGAGGCTGTTTTAAGCAGCTCCACAGCACAGGAAGTCACCAAGGAGGAAAAGCCCCCGAGATCCTCCATGAGGCGCAGCTTCAAACCCAGCCCAGGGAGCTCTGAGGAGGAAAGACCCATCCTGTGCCGGGAAGGCAGCCAGAGCTTCAGCCAGAGCTCAGAGCTGGTGATCCATGAGCAGCTTCCTGACAGGGAGAAGCCCTACAAGTGCTTGGACTGTGGGAAGAGCTTCAGCTGGAGCTCCCACCTGATCCGCCACCAGAAGATCCACACTGGGGAACGTCCCTACACATGTGGGGAATGTGGGAAGAGCTTCAGCCAGAGCTCTGACCTGGTGGTCCACCAGCGCCTTCACACAGGGGAACGCCCCTACAAGTGCTTGGAATGTGGAAAGAACTTCAGCAAGAGGTCCAGCCTCACATACCACCAGCGCTTCCACACTGGGGAACGGCCACACATTTGCTTGGAATGTGGGAAGGGCTTTATCCAGAGCTCCCACCTCATCAGCCACCGCCGGCTGCACACTGGGGAACGGCCATATAACTGCTTGGAGTGTGGGAAGAGCTTCAACCGCAGCTTCAGCCTTGTCATCCACCAGCGTGTCCACACTGGGGAACGGCCCTACGAGTGCCATGAGTGTGGGAAGAGGTTTCAGACCAGCTCCGATCTCCTCATGCATCAGCGGATGCACGCAGGGGAGAGGCCCTTCCGCTGCTCTGATTGTAGGAAGGGTTTCATCCGTAGCTCTGACCTGGTCAAGCACTGGCGCATCCACACTGGGGAGAGGCCCTACAGGTGCTTGAAGTGTGGGAAGAGCTTCACCCAGAGTTCTGCTTTGACCTCACACCAACGGACCCACTGGTAAGAGAAGCTCTACAAGCGCTCCAGCTGCGGGAAGAGCATTGGAGGATCCATGCTGGGCAGAGCATGGGAGTGACCCATGTTCCTGGTGATCCACATTGGAAGACATCTGGCTTGTGGTCTCCACATTCTTCTGGTTCCCCATAGGCACCTGGATGAACAGAGGGGCAAGAACATCCATTGGGACACAGACTGATGTTGGAAATTCATTGGGAAGAGTGGATTTGTTGACTTTAGACCCCAAAAATCTCATCTGCTCCATCCGATAATTTCTTCCTCTGGTATCAAGCAACACTGGATGATCTTTAGGGCCATTTCCAACCTAAATAATTCCACGATTCTAATTCTCTCTGGCCCATGGGTGTCTTGCACAGTCAAATGGTGGTGGACTGGGGCAAAGACCAAAATTTTGAACACAATGGGGTAGAGACCCCTTTTAAAAAGGCTCTTCCACCCACCCAAGCCAACTCCATGGACACTCACACGATGCTGACATGTAAATCTTTTTATTTTGGCCTTGATTTTCTTTTGATTCATGTTTATCCCTTAAAAACACCCAAGGTTGGGGTAAAAAAATTGAATAAAACCTCTGAACTGCCAACATTTTACTGAAATTTTGGGGTTCTAGGGGATATTTGGAGAAATGTGGGAGAGTTTTCTCCATTGTTTTGCCATCCAAATCCAAGAGGGATCAATCTGTTACATAAAAATTACTCAATCCTGCTGAAAATGGCTAAATCCCAACCTTAAATAGCTCAGTCTCACCCCCTAAGGGCATGATTCCACCTCAAAATGGCTCAGTTCCACCCCAAAAATCATGTGATCCCACAGCACCCCCAGTACCCCCAGGAGGGGTGTGATGGGGATTGGGAGAGGTGGGATGTGAATTGGGAGGGTTGGGATGGGGTTTGGGGTGGAGTGGGATGTAGACTGGGAGAAGTGGGATGGAGTTTGGAAGAGAGGAATGGGGTTTGGGAGGGGTGGGATGGGATAGAGGAAATAGGGTTTGGAAAGGGGATCTTCATATCCAGGAGGAGTGGGATTGGGATTGGGATTGGGAGTGGTGGGATGCAGGTTAGGGGCTGGAATGAATTTGGGGAGGGTTGAGAAGGGATCTGGAATAAGATAGCAAAACATAGGGGATGTTAAGGATGGGGGGACCATGTCCCCGAGGGTGTTTCAGGGTATCCCCCAAATCTGTGGAGGTTTTGGAGTATCTGCCATTCCTGAAGAGATTTTGAGATATTCCCCATTCCTGAGAGGATTTTTTGGGCACCCCCCCTTCCTGAGCAAGTTTTTGGGGTACCCAGAATCCTGGGGGGTGGTGGGAGGGGGGGGGAGAGATGTGGCTCTGGCACTTGGAAAAGGGGATCCACAGCTCCTCCACTTGGAAAAGGGAGTCCATTTTGGGGAGGACCATGTTGCTTTCTGCTAGTTTTGAAGTATTATGGACAGCTTTTGGGAATATACTGCTTATTTTCAGGGGTTGAGGTGACTCCCCGCTATTCTTGGAGGCTGCAATGATGCCCTCATTATGGGAGGATGAGGTGATGCCATTTTGGAGAGGATCTTGCTGTTTTCTGCCAATTTTCAGGGTTATAAATGGCTTGTGGAGGCCCCTTGCCTTCATTTTGGGAGGTTGGTGTGACCCCATGATTCCTCCGGTGGCCAAGGGGTTATAACCGGCTTGTGGGGGTCCCCCAATTGCAGGGCACCCCCCTGGAGCAGAGTGTGTCCCCTTGCTGCAGCCCCGGCCCTGCGGCAGCGCTCAGCCCATGATGACTGCCCGGTGTCAGGCAGACCCGCAGCGCCCAGTGCTGCCCACCTGCAGCCCCCCTCGGCCCCAGCGCCCCCTGCCAGGGGAATTTGGGGAGGGGGGAGGTGAGGGCACCCAGGCCGGGCCCATCCGTGCTGTCCCTGCAGGGCCCGGGCATGGCCAATGCTCCGCGCGGGTCCGGTCTGGTGCTCCCAGGGCTGCTTTGGGACCCCCCTCCCCCCCCCGCTGCACAGGCGGCTGTGCTTGAGCCTGGCGGCACCGCCCAGCGCTGGGGATTGGACTGGTGGGGACAGCTGGGGCCCTACTGGGGACAGCTGGGGCCCTGCTGGGGACACTGGTGGCGCTGGGAGAACCCCCGGCTGTCGGCGTGGAGCGCTCAGGGAAAGGGGATGGGGGTGGAAGGGTGTGGCGGTGTTCACAGGGATCTTAGGATGAGGGAAGAGACGAGGATCTGACTCCATGTTTCAGAAGGCTTGATTTATTATTTTATGATATATATTACATTAAAACTATATTAAAAGAATAGAAGAAAAGATTTCATCAGAAGGCTAGCTAAGAATAGAAAAAGAAAGAATGATGACAAAGGCTTGTGGCTCGGACTCTCTGTCCGAGCCAGCTCACTGTGATTGGCCATTAATTAGAAACAACTAACATAGGCCAATCAAAGATCCACCTGTTGCATTCCACAGCAGCAGATAACCATTGGTTACATTTTGTTCCTGAGGCCTCTCAGCTTCTCAGGAGGAAAAATCCTAAGGAAAGGATTTTTCATAAAAGATGTCTGTGACAGAAGGGGGGGAAGCAGGGAGGGTGACGATGGGAAGCAATGAGGACAGGACGGGAAAAGGGTGGGTAGGACCTCCCCACACCCAGAGCAGGGGATGGTGGGCTGGGGATCTGAGGGCAATGGGAAAGAGGTGGAAAGTTTGGTCTGGGACCCATAAACAGAGTGGGAGGGATATGGAATCCACAGAAGTCAGTGAAAGGGCCACATCAAACCCCCCAGATTTAGTGGAGGTAGGTGGCAGCCCCGAACCAAGCGGGGGTGGGGGGGGGTGGGGGGGGGGGGGGCGGGGTGGGGTTGGGACCACCCTGAACCTAAGCTGTAGGGGGAGCTGGGGATTGAAGATGGGAAATGAATGGGAGAATGAGGAAAATTGGGGGTGGGACAGTGGGCAGGGACATCCCATGGGAGTCCTGTACCCGAATGCTCTGCCTGAATGGGGTCAAACAACTCGAACAATGCCCTGTTTGCAAACATGCCAGCGGTAAATGAAGAAGTAGGTTTCCACTGTTTTTGGCGTTAAATGACAGTGAGATAAGATACAGGAGATCTGTTAAAATACCGGGATAAAGGAACAACCAAGTGATAACTTATCCAAAGCTGCTGAGCTGGCAGAGACTGACAGTGCAGGCCTTCAGACTGTAACAGCCCCATCCCACATTTTAACTGCAGAGTCTCCTGATGTATCCAGTTCACAGGGGGAGAGGGATGTTGAGATTCTTCCGTGGAATAAGGATACCCCCTCAAGGACTGGAGCTCCCAGTGCTGTGTGAGGCAGGGAGTGCCAGCACCTGTTTGGAGCTGGAAATTGTGTGCAGGCATGGGGCTGGATAACAAGAAAATGTCATGGAAACAGGAACTAAAGTCTTTAACTCTGTAATTTCACTATTAGAAAGCAGATTTATTTCGGTGCTAGGTGTGTGCAGGTATGACTCCCCTATCACACACACTCAGCTACCTCTAACATTTGTTTGTATTGATATAGTTAATATATATTAATACATTTCCCAAACTCATACATATATGCTAAACATTTCCCTCAAATTCATTTACATATTTAAATCACTTGGAACTCATTTACATTAGAGTTGGGGGTCTCTGGTGGTCACTTGGGGAACATCCCATTCCTCAAATTATCCCTGTTCATCACAGGCCTCAAAAAACAGCTGCTTCTTGAATGCATCCCAGCTCTGCATATGGATGGATCATCAGGTCTCTGCACAGTGTGGGTCACTGTGGATCATCCAGTGTGTGTCCTCCAGCGGGTGAAGAAGTTGGACCAATAACCAAAGCTCTTCCCTGCTCTTCCCCCCTCCTCCCCGCTGGGGCATTCACAAGGGCTTCCTTTAATGATGGGTGCAGTGTGAGGCCAAGGCAGAGCTGCAGAAGCTCCTCCCATACTCCAACACTCATAGGGTTTCACCCAGCCGTGACTGTCTTGGTGGGTGATGAGATTGGAGCTATAGTTGAAGCTCTTCCTACAGCTGGTACAGCAGAAGGGTCTCTACTCTGTGTGCATCCCCTGTGCATCATGCCTGATGAGATTTGAGCCATTCTGAAACCTCTTCCCACACTAGGGACACTTGTAAGGCTGTTCCCCAGTATGGATCTTCTAGTGGCAGATCAGGTAGTAGGTGATGTTAAGGCTCTTTCTGTAAGAGCCTAAATGAGAGATGTGGGACTCCAGGCAGCTCTTCAAAATGCAGTTTATTCCATCCAAGGTGTTACAGCAGTCCAGGATCTTGGGTGACAGAGCTGTGCCTACAGCTGTCAGCTCCAGGCAGGCCTGAAGACCCTTTGCTTTTGGTTACATTGCATTATATATTTTTCTTTGCTGAGCATCTTAATACAGTAGAACCAATCTATACCTTAACTATTATCCATAGCCTATCATAACTACTATAATTACCATATTCATGTTACTATTCTCCAATCACTAAAAGATAGTACACTACAGTTTAAGCTAGAAGTTGTTTTTCAGTTTTCTTGCAGTGGAAAATTCTGAGACCTGTTTTTCTACTTGCAACATTTGCTGATTTGTTTGCCTATGCTATCTTTCTGCTTGGTAAAAACATCTTCTTGTTTGGGGTGGGTTTATCTTTTGCTCTAAGTCATAAAAACCCCTTCTAACTAACACACCCTTTGCCTTCTTGGTTATCCAGTAAGACTGACTCAGCAATTTTCTTTTATATCAAAACTTGCTTCCATCTCTATTCCTTCATCTGACTCTATATTTAAAAATCTTTCTGCCAAGCATACATATCTGTGAGACTTGTCAAACTTTCATCCTTCCCAACATCTTCCCACATTCCTGACATTTGTAGGGCCATTCCCCAGTGTGCAGGCACTGGTGGGTAATAAGGCTGGAGACATCAGTGAAACTTCCCACATTCCTCACACTGGGTGGTTCTCCTCTGTGGATCCTCTGGTAGCAAATCAGGCAAGAGCTCCAGCTAAAGCTCTTCCTGCATTCCCCACAGCTGTAGGGCTGCTCCCAA